ACAATGCTTATCATTTAAAAAATTATGAAACAGTGAAACTGGATTTAACTTAAAATTGTGATAACATTATATTGGAAGGATTAAGAAAGGTAGAGAGATGAAATAGCACTAATCTTAATTATCACAATAAACATCAATAGATCACACCTAACATGCTAAACTGAAGAAAGCATATACATATTACTGAATTTTTCAATATGCATGTATTATTTAATAGGAATATTTTTAAAACAATCAAAAAACAACAAAGGAGCAACATGAAAATGACTAAAAATATGACAAAACAAACCAACATGTAAAGGACATCTCAAGTAGAAAAATCTTCAAACACCTCACTACTACTCCCTGCCACACACAATCCCAATCACCTACCCCACCATTTTTATCTATGAAAGTCAATTGTCAAAATTAATGTTCTTAAGCAAAATACAAGGACACACTACCAACAGGAATATAAACTTTCTGCAGAGCAATTTGACGCTACATCTCAGAGCATAATGTTTTGCTCAACCTTAAAAGTATAATTTTTTCCTAATAAGAATTTGCATAGAAATTCATATATCTCAAAGGTAGTCTCTGAAAAACTAGTTAAAATATTTAAAGGTTGGAAAAAAACAAAACTCTCCCCCCCCAAAAAAAAGAAAAGTAGTTAAATTATGGAACATTAAAAGAACAGAGTGCCATGCAGCCATTAAAAGCAATGTTTTAAAGGAGGGGAGGGGGGAGCAAATCAATAAGACAGGAGGAATAAGAGACTTTTCAGGAAAGGGTATGAAGGCAAATATGGGTTCAAGTATGGAAATTGTGTACGGGAAATAGTAAATAACTTAAAATAGTAAATAACTAAAGTTATTCATAAAGTTATTCATAACTTTCATAAAGTTAACTATTTGAGCTCAGTGAACAGGAAGGAAATACCTAGGACATGGATGCACCCTATGTGCTGCTGAACTTAATCACCTGGGTAGTATTGTGAAGTTGGTAAAAACGTAAGTTTTGGGATCCAATTCAGTGTTTCCATTTCCTGCCTGACAATTTTGAATCTGAACCTCAGGTCTTTGCCTATGAAACTGAAAAATTACCTTTTCACAGTACTATTATAAACTGAAAAAAAAATGTATATGAAGCCCAGTACACATTTATACCATAGTAAGTACTAATGAACAGAAGTTTTTCTGTTACATTAAATCACTATATAGGAAAAAAAAACAACAATTTTACAGAAGGGTGCAAGAAAGTACTGTTTTTAAAGATTTTGTATGATACTTATTTCTAAGTCTTATTTACATCAATAAGCACACACTGTGTAAGTTTATTCACCAGTGAAGTAGCACATTTCTGCCATGCCCAGAATTGAGAAGACAATCATACACTGCCTCTTACTGTTTTACAAAAGAACTGATTGTTCTGAGACAATGTAATCTAGAATTATTTAAAGAATAGAATTTATGTTTCTGTTCCATGTATATCTTTAGCAGTCTTTACAGTTTATAAAATGCCTTTGTTCTGCTCATTTTAGTTGTGAGAGTGGCATTTTAGTTGTAGGTGTTGACTGTCCTGCTATGTTCGTCAAGAATTTGCCCAGATCTACAAAAACAAGAAAACCTTACCTTTTCTTGTTTCAAGAAAAACTAGAAATCAAGAAAACTAGACCTTATCTTTTAGTTTAGACATAGTACTCTTTCCACTTGTATGTTTCCTCTTTTTTGCCATTTTTAATAAGTTACCAATAACTAAACATTTTCACTTACTCATTTCATAGTTTCAATATGTAAGAGCCTCCACAGTCACTGTGTACAAGTTACCTAAATAAAGTTATTTGGTGTAGAAATAATTATGTAACTGAAAAAAATTATCCTTTTATTTTACAGGCTATTTGCAAAATGGTATGATACTACATTTACATGAAACATTTTCAGGAAAACACGGCCTACTTTTATTCTACTAAGTAGGTTTTATATAATGAGGTTCCTGAGATTTAAATAGAATGAAGAGCAACTTAGCAAAAGTAGTAAGAACAATGCTTTTATACTATATGAACATTGTGAGTATTTTCACAAAGTGAAAAGAATCGGCTAAGGCTCACAAGTTATTTCCGGTCCTGACACCTGACGGCTGGCTCAGTCACTGCTGCTGACAGCACTTTTAAGGGTAGGAGTCATTTATCAGCACCTACTGTTTGCCAACAGCCCGTACTAGAAATACGGTCAATGAAATACCACTAACTCTCTATTAATAAAACTTCTAAAATATATCCAAAATTATTATCAGTAGAGATAAAAACAGAGTCTACTTAATTCAATGGCACGCTTTTCACCTATCTTCACAAGACAACATAATTCTACAAATTGACAAAAATGCCAATATCTCCTAATAAAACAAAACAAGAACAAGATTTAAATAAAAATTTTTTTTGTTTGTTTAAGCAGAGTTGTTAAGTATGGAACAACATTTTAAGGAAAGTTACAGCACAATCTATGCCTGTGGTTCTGAGGAAAAGGTTGTCCTGAAGGTAGGAAGGAACGCGGATCCCATGCAAGGTGGCTCCGGATCCTTTAATTTCCTAACTTCCATTCCTCAGAAAGGAAGGAAACAGTTACTGAGCATCTACTATCTACAACATAACTTCAATGGGAGTAAAATGAACACATTTACAATGTGTTTCTTAGAAATAAAGATAATTTTCAATGTTAGACTTGCCACTAGAGGGAGTTTATCTTGCTTAACTAATTCAATTGAAGGTTGGGAAGAGGTTCAGATTGAAATTCTGTCATACTTGATTCCAAAACTTTACAGAACTGCATATATAAATGGGCAACTTATCAACAGTCTTATACTTATGTTACACCACATTTTCTCTTTAAGTAAAATAAAATGGCTTTCACTCAAAGGATCAATGTTAAATCGCAATAGCATTTTCAGCTCAAACAAGATGTATTTTTCTGACATTGTTGGCATATATCAGACCTCAGCTACAAAGGGTACTTTAACTTAAAAAAAATCCATATTAAACTTAATGTTAAGTTTAATGGCTACATTCCTAAAATGAACTTTGATTAACTGCATTAAAAAGCTAATTTTTCAATCCAGTAAAAATAATTTATAAATAATTTCATGTGATTCTGTAAATGCTAGCCAGCACTAGGCTTTTCTTATGGAGCAATATAGTGATATTTTAAGGCATTTATGAGACTAGAAGCAATGCAAGGTGCTCAAAAAAGAGCTGAAAAACATCTATGCTAACTAAATAAAATAAAATAAGGGTAATGTGAAAATGCCTTAGCAACAGTGTATCACAAGGAATTAATAAGTATGTTAAAATATTAAGATAAAATAAAAAGCACATCTTACATAAATAAAGAGAAAATGCAATACATTTAAAAGGCAGATCTTTAATAAAATGCTAAAGCCCAAAATGTTAAACTTTTTAATATATACAAAAATAAGGCACTTGACTTTTTTTTTTAAAGTCATCTAGGTTGTTATGTAACACATTGACAGAAACTCAGTAACTTAAAAATCCATTAGGGAGATCTTCAAATTTTATGACTATACACGTAAAACCCATGACACCTGTATTATAAGTCACCCTAAATGTACAATAAATACATAAAACAGGCATTTGGGATGCCTCTCAATTTTACCCATCAAGAACAAATTCAAACTAGACAAATATATTCTAATATCAAAAAATCACTCTACAAAATGCAAGTTTGCAAATCAATGTCACAGAACTGCCACAACAGAAAATGCTATTTTGGCAGTATTCCTAATGTCAGCCACCCTGCAGGATAATACTTCCAAATTTTAATCAGTCTATTTATACAGAGATAAATAGCTTCGGTTAATGCCAAGTCTAGATCTGAAGAACTATGATTTTCAAATTGAAATTCTAAAAGGAAATTAAAACTCCAGAATAATGAGATTTTAAAAGTAGTTTGTGGTTTTAAATATAAATGCTGTTTGTGACCGAAATTAAGTTTTAGGCAGAATGCATACTTCTGATTGGCTCTGAATGAACATTTAATGTGCTCTTAAAACTCTTTATGAAAATGTGAATTAACTCAGAGATAAGTTGTAAATAAACACGTGAATACAGCTGACTCACAAAAGTAAATCTGTCTCAAACACGAATTTGTTTTTCTGAAAAAAATCATTTTAAAGTTATTTGCCATTTCATGCAAATATCCCACCAAAACAAACAAGAAAATCTGTAATCACTCCATTAGCATTGACAAAACTTTGGAGTAGGGGAAAAAGGGAACTAGAGAAAGGTACCAAGAATGAAAATGTCTATTTCACTTATTCCCAGTTTCAAATCTGTTACTTTACAGACCCTAAAACCACCGCAAAAGTGCTAAGCTCCCTAATTAAGACAGCTCAAAAAACAAATCCCCCACCGTACCTTGCGCACTACATACACTCATACCTGCGGCCATCTCTATACATTTTACCGATAGGGTCACTTAGAACACTACAAAATTGCTTCCAAATAAGTAAATAAGAGCACAACAAAAAGCCAGTTGCACCAGACCAAAAAATACCTTCAGAGGCACTCAGCCCCTCTTCCTCAGGTGGCGCATGTTTAGCTCTTTGGAACACTTCGCCCTGCCAGGAAAGAGAATTTGGACCGTCCTCCAACCAAACCTAAGAGGATATTAAGAGTGGAAGGGGATTTCAAGACGGGCTTAGGTTATCTAAGCCACCAGCCCCACAGGCACACCGGGGTTGTCAACAAATTAGGACCACAGAAAACAGCTGCAAGTGGGTGGGGGTGTGAGACCGTGCGTGTGGGCTGGGTGACAACTTTTAAAATGCAATGATTAAAAATTGAAAAATCCAAGGCTTGATTGTCTCGACCCGGCCCCGAATTTCGATTCCACTGTGTTGGGAATGGACCTAATCACCACACCGCGAGCAATTGGGGACGCGGTGGGAACTCCTCCCGTACCCGCGTGCCTGAGCGCCCAGCCCCCGCGCCGAAGACTCGGGACACTCACGTTTTCTGCACGGGTTTCCGCCGCTTGCGACTTGCGTAGGTGATGTTGGCACTGCTGCCGTTCATGGTGCCCAGCCGCCGGCGCCTCCTTCCCAAGCGCAGGCACCGTCCGCCCGGTCTCCGGGACTCGTCTGCTGCTGGAACGACGGTGGCGGCAGCAGGCGCAGGATTTCACGAAGCTGCTGCGCTCGCTCCACCTGCGTCCTCCCGGGTGGTGGGCAGACGCCGGGACCTCTGACTCTCGGCTCCCAAAGCCCCGCGATTCCAGGTGCGCTGCCGGGTCCTGGCGCCGAAGGGGGTGGGAGGTGGGCGGTGACCGGCGGAGACCGTGAGCGAGGCGTGGTTGCAGGTGCGGTCCACCCCGGCGGAGACGGCGCGGCGCGGCGCGGCCCACAGGTGAGGCGGCCAGGGAGGAGGAGCCTGAGCTGCCCGTTTGGAAGCCCGGCCTGGGTCCCTCCCGGTGGTGCCGCGCCCCGTGACGGCCGCCGCGGCCCCTTGGGAAAGGGAGGCGCCGCTGGACGACTCCTGGTGCTTCCCCAATCCTGGGTGCTTCCCGCCCGTGCAGCTCGGGCTCTGGCCGCCACTACCGGTGCCACCTGCTTCCGCTGGGCTACGTAGCTATCCCTAGTCCGAGCTGGTGGTCCAGGTGACGTTCCCGGACCAAGCGTCAAATGGACCCTCCCGGCGATGACCCGCGCCGCCGCGCGCACCCGCTGAATTGCCAAAGCACTCAGACCGTCTCTGGCCCCGCCCTGTCCCTATAGCTCCGCCCCTTTCTACTTGGGCCCGCCCCCATCAGCTCCCTTGAGGGCCCCGCCTTCCTGGCACGTGATGACGAAAGACGTAAAGACGCCTCGCAGTAACCATCTTCTTGAGGTCAAGGGGTGGATTCTGTAGCCACAGTTCCAGCCCTTAAAGAGGTGCGACAACAAATTATATGTAGCCAAACTCTTCGTAGCTAGACTATCTAAAGGACAGACATGCTAAACAGGGAGCTTAACTTCACTTATCTGAGAGACAGTGACTCACCTTTCGGCTAAAAATTACTGTGAGCTGGCCGGTAACCAGCGCGACTCCACACTTTCCTAGAGGGGAAGGCTTCAGACAGCCACATCAGAGTAGGAATTTAAAAGCTAGGAGGTTCCTTGGCTTTTTTTTTTTTTGGTCTTTGTACTAGATAATATCTTTTCCCCAACCAGAATAACTATTGCTATTCTATAGTCAGATTTCAATTAGATGGAAAGGAAGGAAGCAGGAGATGTTTGTGGCTAATAAATAGTCTGGTACGGCCCAACGGGAGGAACTGGAAGTGACATTCAGGAATTTTAGGATCAAATCATAAAGCCTTGATAAAGGGTCTAGATTTTATTTTGTAGGCAACGAAAGCCCTTTAACGATATTTAGCAGGAAAGTGACATTCTGGTGTTTTGGAAAGGTTACGTGGAAGAAAGTGCAAACTAGATAACAGGGTATCAAGGCTGGTTGAAGAGAGCGTGGTTAGGATTGAAATAACTCCGGTGTAAGTCCGGGGAAGTGGCGGTAGGATGGACAATAGGCAAAATATAGACGATATAAAAGAATAAGGAAATAGAGGAAGAGAGAAATCTTAAATATCTCCAAAATTTCTGACTCAGTGCTCTTAAACACGAGAGTGAGCACAGAGGAGTCTGTTTGTCAGGAGCAGAAGGGCAAACAGGTTAGGATACATGGAGGACAGCTCCCACCATATCCATTCCTCTTTTTTTCATTGCTCTTAGGGAAATGGAAGGGAGACAGAGAAACAGTGATGCGAGAGAAGCATGACTGATCGCCTCCCGGATGTACCCGATGCACCCAGACGGGGATCAAACCTGCAACCGAGGCGTGTGTCCCCACCGGGATGGAAGCGGGATGGAACCCGCAGCCTTCTGGTTATGGGCGACACTCCAGCGGAGCCGCACCAGCAAGGGCCCATTTCTAAATTTTAAAATGCCTTGAAGCCATTTCCACCGAGTAAATTGTTACCTCAAATTCAGTTCATCAATAACTTAAAGTTATCATTTTCCTTAGCTGAAACTTTTTCATTGGCTCTGCCATTCTCCAGATCAACCTGTGAATCCTCTTCAACTCTCCTTGCCATTTGTATCTAAATATTCTAGCAAATACTGTTTTGTTCTTCGCAATGTTCATAATCCATCCCCCTCCACCTTATTTTTAAATAATATCAGAGAGCCTGTCCAGCTAAATGCCATACCATTAGGGGTTCCCCAACTGATATTTTCTCCTCTACACATTAATTAAATCAAGAGATATTTGGGGAGGTAACTCCAATGAGCCGGTACAAGCAACGTCCCTATTGGGGGAAGGATCCAAGCAGGTATGAGGGACTACAGCCAGTTAGTTCAGTACGCTCAGGGGAGAAAGGCACAAAGGGTCAAATTTGTGTTTCAGAAATAACACCGTATCTGGGTGTAGGGCAAATTAAAAAGGCAGGAGCAGAGTGGAATGGATGGAGTACTCCTTAGGAAGTCATCTGCAGTAGCCCAGCCAAGAGATGGCAATTATTGTGGAGGGGGTTGTGGAGAGGAAGAAAATGGAATAGATGCAAAGATATTTGGTAGGTATTGGAAGATGGAGTGGATATATGAGAGTGAGGAAAGAAGATGAGGCAAAACCATAAGAGTTGTATGGATTGTATCTGGCTATATGGTAATGGCATGTAATGGTGGGAGATTCTTAACTTGGCTTTGGATTTCTTTGGCTCGAGGTATATTTGAGACATCTAATAGAAGATGTCAATAAGCCATAAGATATTTGGGTTTGTATCTCAAAGAAGATATATAAACTGGAGACAAATTCAGGAGTCATTTGCATTTAGGTGGCCAGAGCATGGAGGTTACAGGGTGTGAATGTATACTAGAAAGAAAGGACAGGGTCCTGAAGAACTTTAATATGTAATATCTAATAGCTGGATAGGAGATGGAGGTCCTGCAAAACTGACTGAGGAAAGAGTTGCTAGAATGCTAAGAGGGGAACAAAGGGATTATCTGTCACAGACCACAAGGTAGAGAAATGCTAGGAGTGGTTAACAAATACTGTTCAAATAAAATGAGCACTGAAAATGTCTTTTCTGACTTCTCAACATGGGGTCATTGGTGACTTTTGTGAACACAATGTTGGTGGACTAATGGACCTGCAATTCAGATTGGAGAAGAAATGACATTGGCAAACACATTTTATTTTGTTTTGTTTTGAAGTTTGGCTGTGAAAGAGAGAAACCTAGGATGGTAGCTAGGGGGCGTAAAGAGTTAACTTGCTTGTTTGTTTGTTTTGTTTCTTAAGGGATAATGGTTAAGCAGTTGAGAGAGATTGAGATTGGCTGCAGGTGAGAAAGAAAAGGACCTGTAAAGGAACCATGGATGTGAAAAAACAGGAAGCAATAGGTGCCAAAGCACAAACAGGGGATTAGGATTATAGTAGATTACAGAATAGCAGAAATAGCTCATCTACTGCCTTGCTCCTTCAGAGTTCCACAGCTTCTCATACGTGTTATAAAGATCTCTCAGTGCCCTTACTGAGTCAAGCGTTAGTAAGCCCTCCCAGATGATTCAAATGTACATGAAGTTTGAGCAGCACTGCCCGTCAAAGCTGGAGAAAAGGAGGGAGGTGGGTGAAATGGAGCAGGCTGCAGGTACTGTAGGGTCAGAAAGATGAAGGAAATGTGATAAGGGTATTACAGCATGAGCTACAAAGAAACAGGAGTGTTTTGTGGTTGATGGTTTTGTTTTATATTTCAACTTTACAAGACTACAGAGTAAAAGTCACCTGGGAAGTGGCAACGGGGAACTGGGTGGACATAACCCAGATCCTCGATGTGTGATGAGGGAAAATAATTAGGCATCGTTTTGGAGAATTTCCCAAATGCTAGGAAAATGAGAGCCTCAGAGACAGCCAGCTCTCAGTTTAGGGCAAAAAAATAGAGCAACTGCCTAACAAAGGCAGTGCATGCAGAGCAGTTTGTCGTTTACGGATTAGCAATTCCAGGGCCATAGATTCAACCATCTCTATTTTCCCTTCTCTTTCATGTCTTCATCTCTGTATTCACATCCATAGCCATTCTATCTAAAAGGTATATAAAGTGTGAACAAATAATTTCCTTCTAACATAGAAACTGTAGGTGTGAAAAATGCATGTCAAAGCATAATTTATTGGCTCTGTACTTTAAACTTCCTTTTCAGAAAAGGATACACTAAATGTACTGAATCCCAGGAGCTGACCTTACAGGGATTTGGTACAATCCCTTTCTATCTTGCTTTGTCCTACTTCCATATCCTTATTTTCTGTTTGACTTTATGGTTATTTTCATTACTCAGGAGCCATATCCTGCTTAGTTTTAGTCGAGACTTAGTTATGTAATGGATCTTTGGATAGCCCAGATAAAAACAGAATATCGATAATATTTTTAAAATTCATTTTATTTTAATAGCAATACCATAAAGTTCCCGTAACATTTTTGCTTACTATGTCAATAAAATCATTCTTTCTAGTATAATGTCATTTAAGAGAAAAAAAGAGAAAAAAGAATGAGTTGTCACTTTCTGGAAACTATTGCTCTCTACTCCTAATATCACCATTATAGAGCATGGGTTGCAAAGTGTGACTTGTGGTCACTGCTAAGGATTTAAGTTTTCTATTAGCAATTTTTATGTAGTAACATGTTCTTTTCTTGTAACAATGAATTTGCCTATCAGAATTTATGAATATCTGACCACCTTATCGAAAGCAATGTCATCCTTTAATTCAGTTAAGGCAAGATTACTTTCTGAGGCTTCAGATGCAGCTGTATGTCTGTTTATGGGGTCCTTTCCTCTGCTAAATACATGAGCAAAAGAAATGTTTTAGGAATGCTATTATAAATAGCAGCTGTTCCAGAATAAAGTAATCAAAATGAATGCTAAACTTATTCTGTCATAGTACATGCATTCATTCATTCCATTCAGTGATGTGTTCATGTTCCTGTAATATACCAGGCACTGTGGGAACAGTGGTGGTATCGGACACACTCCTACCCTCTGGGAGCTTACATTCCAATGGGAGATACAAGAATTAATCAAGTAGTTATATAAATAAATGTATAATTGCAACTGTGCTAAGT